AAGTCGTCTTTTATAGTTCTGAAGTCTCTTTATCCGTAACACCATTTCCAGATGGTTTCTTCCCTTAAAAAGGTGGCACGTCACTTTTAGTCCCTTCAGACTATCTCTCCAGAGTTCATACGTCCGTCTTGCGTTGTTCTTTTTTCCTTTCCACACAACTCTTTCTCGCCTCTTCCTTTTCCAGTTTTTCTCCTTACTGAAACAGGGGCTCACTTTTTTCTTTCTTATTACCTTCCTCTTCTGGTAGCTCTTTGTTGTTTTTGTCTTCCTTCTTAAAGTCTCTTTAATTTCCACTTCTTGCTGATCTCTAGACTCCTCTACCCGACATTGCCTATTTTGCTTCGACTCTTCTCCGCTTTCACTCTTCAATTGGGGGCCGTGGAGGTTTGCGAACGCCCGCTTGATGCCTTCCTCCATTCCCTCCCTCAGAGTTTGCAAAAATTGCTCTATCGTCATTTCTTGCACCATAATATCCTCCTCCATATCCTCATCCACAGATGCCATTTTCTTCATTTTTTAAGTCCTGTTTCAGTTCAGTACTAGTTATTGCATAGCTGAGAGACTAAAAACATGCGTTTAACTGGAGAGCACAGTCCTTATCCCACGCATGCGCACACTCCTTCTCTCTCACTTTCCTGGCCGCTTTCTTTTCGTCTTTACTAGGAGTTTTCCCCCCAATTTCTTGATACTTAAGGAGGTATGTACTCACTGTTCTCTCTTTTTTTTGTAATCCTGTTGCTGCTAACGTAATCCCTTTAAACTTTTAGGTAAAAACCGGAGGCGGCGGCTGCAGGAAACATGGCGTCCATGTTCCTCTCTCTACCCGCTCCTGTATCGGGGCAAAAAGTGGACACCCCCCGCGTTGCCTGTCGCGAGAGGGGCCACAATCGAGCCCCCTACTCCAGCTCTCTCTCCGGGAGAGCTGGCTGGTTGCTCCCGACAACCGGGAGCCCCCAAACAGAGTGGGAAGGAATTGGGCATCCTCAGCTCCAGCCGGGGACTGCCCGTCGCCGTGCCATGCCAACCGGAACTAGTTTATACCCAGTATTAAACTTTGTCGGTCTTAAAGGTGCCACCGGACTCAAAATTTGTTCTGTTGCTTCAGACCAACACAGCTACCCACCTGAATCTATACTCAGTGAAAATATTTTTTGTTTATACAAATACTGTTTGTACAGGAATCACCACTTATGCAGTGGATGTTACATCAAAATTTTCATACTACACAGACTGAGTGAGGAACCTTGGAGCCTCCCTAACATTCTGAGGAAACTCTTCTCCATGTTTTACAACTGGACTCCATCTCACAGCAGCCTTTTTGCTGCAGGACCCACCACCTGTTGTCAAAATGTAGTGCCTAAGCCCAATTTATCCTCTTACAGTTCATCTTCCTGTTTTATTAATGAATGCCAGGCCTTCAGTGAGGGACAGAGGGAAAGACACCACACCTGTAAGCACCCTACTGCAAAACATAAATATTTCATGTACTATACAGCCAGGGACCGCCTTTCACCATATGTTCCCCAACGGGCACTACGGTCGGGGACGCAACATCTCCTGGTGACCCCAGGCCCCAAGGAGGCCAGGTTTGCTGCAACCAGGGCCGGGGCCTTTTCGGTGGCGGCTTGCAGTTCCGCAGGGCCTGCAAGACGGAGCTCTTCGGCCAGGCTTTTGAGTAGGAGCTGCCACTACCACCATCTTTACCATCATTGTCAACCAGCCCTGGGAGGAGTGAATGACAGCGATGCATAGAGCTGATACCACTGAACTGGGAGTATCATCTTTAAGACGCCATCTTTTTATTAAAGACTGATTGAAACATCTAGAGCACTTTGAAAGATTGTAAATGACTGTTTTTATGTTGCTTTTAACCTGTTTTAAGTATTGGCATGTGCCCTATTTGTGAGCCGCCCTAAACCCGCTTGTGGGGAGGGCGGGCTATAAATTGAAATAATAAATAAAATAAAATAAATAAAAAGACATTAGACAGATTCAGAAATATTGCTGCTCTCTAAACAGCTCGCAACTATCTGAAAACTTGTCAACTCAAACATGTATGAGAACTTGGAAAGATCTAATACTAATCAATACAATATCTAGTCAATAATATGTAAAAATTGGTGTAGAAGCAGTAGCAGCTACATCAGTAAACACTGTTACCATAATCTGGACAGTGAGAAAATATTTGCTACAAAGTCACATATATGTGTTTTATTTGTTTTCATTTTATTTCTTCAGTGAAGAAAAGAGAGTACAGAGAAATCCAAAGTATATGCACAACACCTTACTCTAGAGTTTTAAATAAAAATCACTTACGCTTTTTTGATGTCTTCTTGTGATGCGTGCCTATGCACTCCTAGAACTTCATAATAATCCACCATGTTTTAGATTTCTTTGTTACCAAAGTTCTGTAAAAAGAGAATAAGGCAGGCCTTATTTCACAAACAATGCGAATTTCCTTTGAAAAGCCAAGGTAAGTAGCTAGAAACACATGTCCTCTAACAGATTATTTTGTATTATTGCATCAGCCACTCATCAGTAAAATCTATAATAAGGACCAAGATGCTTTTCAATACAGTTTAAAAATTTAAACTTGCTTCATGAGAACTTTTTCCAAAATGTGTTCCAAACTTCCCTTCCCTTATAATTTGCCTTTTTACTGCAGACTACTATGGAGGAGGCCCTGTGATGAAACCAGTCTAAAAATATTTTAAATGCAGAGGCCAAGAGCTTGAGAGAAAAACAGATCCACCTCCGTCCACAGAAATCAGAAACAGAGGGCTACTCCCAAACTAGCACTATTGCAACAGAAATCCTTGTCTCTCCTCTTCTGGCTGCCAACTGCATTTCCATGCTTGTTTTGCCCCAATATCCCAGTCTTCAAAGTTCTGAATGCAATCCTATAGTGTTACACATAGTCTAAGCCTGCTGATTTCACTTAACTTAGACTGCATTGTCAGAAGAGCACTTAGACCACAAACACTTCTGCATACAGTCTATCATATTATAAGCCTCTTTTCAAACACCTTCCAAAACTTCCAGAGTCAATATCTAATATAGAATACTCAAGAAAAGCTACCCAGAATAAATACAAATAAAACTACAAACTTAAAAGGCTTGTCTTCTTACAAATCTGAACAGAGCACGAAACAGAAAGCAAATTATTCAGGGTCACATCTCATATTGTCCACTCCTGATAAAGTCATATATAAGCATCACAGTCCCACAATCAATCCTGTCTTCTTGGCAAGATTCCTTCCTGGAATTTGTCCAGAGTTCAAGTCATTTGAATTACCTTAATGATATCACACAACAGGAGTTAACACAGCACTACAAGATGTATGGCTTTGTTATGGAGAATAATTCCAGTGTTAAGTCATGCGATATTGCAAAACCTTTCTTCAGAAAAGTTATCAACGAAGCAAAACATGGAAAACCCTAAACCCAACTGTTCAACAGCTAACTTTTTATAGTGCTGGGCAAGCAGTCACAATCTTTATGAACAGTCACCACCTTTAAACAAAAATGCATGGTGGGGGAGAAGGTTAAGAGTAAAGATGTGAAGGTCTGGGGGAAACGTGGGAAAATTTGAAAATGTTGGGGAGTGCTAACTGCTATGAAATACTTTCTCTTTTGGAATGAGTGAAGTGCTTTTTAAAGACAAGGTGAGTGCATTGTAGACACAGATGGCTCTTAAATCCAAGATGCATTTCTGTACCTAGAAGGAAACCGAATCTTCATGAGGGGAGTCATGCAGGGCTCTCACTGTTGTTCAGCAGTTGCATACCTTCTGTTATCCTTACGACCTGATTTGTAAGTGATCTTTTCTCCCTGAAACCACTGTGACACCTATACCTACGGACTGGGTAAAAACGATCTTATTTCCCTACCCTTAAAAAGGGAGAAAAAGGGAGAAAAAAAGATCAGAGGGAGGTGGGACAGAAACTGCACCGAAGCCTCATAGGAAAACTCTGAGCTTTCATTGAGAGCTTTCTCTAACCAGATAACAAAAATTAAGGTACATATACAAAGATGGAATAGGGTGCATCAGCTAGCAGCTTTCTTTGAGGTATTGAGCATATGTGCAATTTTACTTGTACAAAACTGAGGTGTTTATAGGTTTGAAATGCCATAAATATGTCATATATTGCATTTTAATATACTAAATTAAAAACAGTACATTTTATGTTGTTAAACAAAAAATTAGTTGAGGTTTGACAGGCTAGTAAGTATTGCATCTATTTCAATTTTCCCAACATTTTCATTTAATAAGTTTCCTGTGGCTTCATAATTTCCAGAAATGTTTACATCTCTACTTAAAGAGTCTAGTATTTCTGCATATTTTGAGTTCCTAAAAAGTTTCCCACATTTAATAACTTTTTAAAAATAAAATCATCAGGAGCTCTTAGAGATCTTGCAAAAAACTAAGAAAAGAGCTGTTCACTGTAACAAACCTATTTTGTGCCACCAAAAAGTCAGTTGACGATGCTTTCAACAAGCCAGCTTCACTGCCATTTGAAGACAATGACAACAAACTACTGTGCGGAAGGAGACTGGTACGCAGCAGCTCCAACTATCAAGACAGAACACACTGATTGTAACATTATTAGTTTGTTATCCTAAAACATGCATTCTTCAATCTTAAGAATCCCAGCATAATATTCATGAGTTGCCAGCAAACTCTAACAGCTCTCTTCCTAGTCCCATCAAATCTCAAATGGTTCCCTGACAAAGTAGGCATTTCATTTAAATAGGAATCCCATCAAGAATGAGTAGATACACATTCATAGCTGTAAACTACAACTCAAGCCAGAATGAAACTAAAGTATCCTTCCATTTAAATATACCATATTAAAAAGCGATCCATTGCATGTTTTCAAAATGTCAAAGATATTGGACAGCAAAGAAAGCAAATGTACCAACCAAAAATACCACTTCAATATTGTGTTTCTTATTAGAACATTTAGCTACTAAATGCTCTGATCAAGGGATCTTATGGCCCCTCTATGGATGTCTAACAGATTAATTGTAATTTACTTTAAATGTTTTAATCGTAACATTGTATCACCTGAACTTGATAGGCTGGGTGGAAATGTTTAAATAAAATATTCCAGGCAATGGGCTTTACTACACAGAAAAAAATATTATCCTGCTCCTTGTGTTGAACAGTTTTTTCTCCCCTAAGTAGGAGCCAAGAGCTCTCAAAAGGCAGCACTTTAAAACAAATACATGTCTTAACAAGCATACTTGCTATTTTAATCCGGGACTCTGCCAGTCCCACCCACCCCCACCAAAACTCTAGGGGAATATAAAGTCTTGCATACCTGAGGCCCAATTTAAATATGGCAAAGAGCTTCTTTGTGTGATTTTCCACCTTGCATGATTTCAGCATCTTGTTTGAACTGTGCTGCAAAGCAGCTATGTGACGCCCTCCTTATTGGGGAGGACTGGTTTCCCTTTAAAAGTGTTCTTTTTATTTTGGTCTACTGGGTATAAACCGCTGCCACCAGGAAATTTAAGGCTTTCCAAACCTTTATACTTTACGGTTGCTCTTACTAGTTAGGTAGTCCGAGTTCAAGGCTTATGAGGAACCATGTGGTCCTGAGGAAGTATTTCTTTCAGAGTTGGTATATTTGAATAAAAGAGGATTTATTGAAATAATTCATAAATAAAAGGGTAGAACAAGGTATCTAGTAATGTGTAATAAATGAACCATTGATTGGTGTATCACACACAATCTGCTCCCTTACTGACAGGGATCTTTCAGGTAACTTTGTAACACTTTAACTCAAGGTCATGTAAGTTCACTGTTTCTCTCCAGGACATACAGCCTTTCCTAAACTTTGTCTTCAATTACTTTCATTTATTTTTTCTATTCTCTCAGCCTTCCTTCCGTTTCTCACTTCCCTCACATACAGAACTAACTGCTTGTCTCTCTCATTCCCCACACAGAACTAACTGAACTCCTCAACTGTCAAACCTGTAACTGTAACCTCTGACTGACATACAGACATATCGTCTCATTCTCACTTCCAAAACCCCTCCCCCTTTCCGTCAACCACCAATCATACCACGCTTGCTTCTCTCAACCACTCTAGTCTACTTACCACAGCCATGCAACCAAACTTTTAAAGAGACACACACACCCCTAAAACAAGGAATCTTTACAAGCTACATGTGCTTGTTATGCATGCTTGGGATCCGCAGCCCCTTTTTTTTTTTGGCCCCCCGGAGGGGATTTTTTTATTGCATTTTTATAAAGACCACAAACTACAACAGAAATAGGGAAGGGGACTACCATTAAAGGATAAAGAAAAGATACCCACTACTATCTATAAGCCCAAGAGAGGAGATCATCTAGTTAGCTTGGCACACGTTATCTCTCAATCACACTAATCCCATTATTAACTGATTCAACTATAGTATTATCTTTTTCATATCTTAACTATCACTGTTAACTCGAAAGACCCCTAAGCATCTAGTATCAAAGAA